GAGAAGCTCTGAGTAGTAGAAGCGCTACAGAAGTCTAGGAGTGGCTGGCTGTGCCTCTCTGGCCAGGAGGAAGAGCTGGAAGCCTGGTTGTGAAGTAGGTGCCTTGAGGAATGTAGCTCTGTCTTTAAAACCTCTGTACCTAGACCGGTTCTAATTCCAGTGAAGGTGGGCCTGGCTATCTCACAAAGTTCTCAGTGGCCTTCGGTTCAGGGCGTCCGTGGGGGCCGTCAGGCAGGACGTGAGGTACCACCCTTCACTTGGCTTGCCATTCTGGGGCTGGAAGTGAGAGCCCTGAGTTGACTTTTGTCTCCAGCCTACCTCCCTATGCTCCTACACACCACCTCTCTCCCCCTACTAAACAGATCATCTCACTGCCGGTTCTCATCCCAAATGCCAAGCTGAAGGCAGAACAAGTTGCTGCTTTGCTCTGCCCTACCCGAGCATTTGCAAGGGGCAGATGACCAGATGCCTGAAGCCTCATTTAGCTCTTGTCCTTTTGCAGGCACAAGGGAACTAGAATGGATTGAATTTAAAGTTAAACTAAGCCAGAGCACAGTAAGCCATTTGCTTGGTGGCCTCTACAGGAATCTGCACTTTTAGAGCAAGGGACAGGGGAGGGACACTGGCCCTTGCTCCTTCAGCATTTCTTACACTTCCTTTCCATTATCCTCATTGGAATGAACCCTGCAACAATCTGTTCCGGAAACTGTAATTAAGGTGGGATACAGTATTCTATTACAAGGTTTTTAAAGTCCCATCCATTCTTTCATTGCATATGGACAATAACACTATTATTGTGTCATTACTATTGCCTTTTTACAGATGATGAAAGGGAAATTTCATAATCATTTCTTAGCTCTGCTGCTGAACTTAGGGCTTGTCACCTATTGAAGCCTCAATATTGTTTGTTATTAAACTAGAATTTGACCAGTTTGAAGCAGTTAGTCTCCTCATGATAAGAACCCTAGACCGAGACCAAGGCAAGTACTTTCCTTAAAAGTATGGAGAGACTGACTCCTCAATAGTCTCCAGGAGTTCTTTGGGGGCTACTTTTCTGTGTTTGATCCCAAACAGGGTGGTAGAGGAGGAAAAAGTTTTCCTTAACTTTCTCAGAGTCCGTGGCTGAGTCTGAGAGTTAAACTAACAAAGATTAACAGGAAAGCAGCACACAGATGTACTGAATATAGATAGGTCTTATGTGATACGGAAGCCTTCATAAGGAAAGGAAGTCCTGAAGAAACAGATCTGTGTATCTTTCTGCTGGGTGTGAGGAAGAGTGGGAAGTTGTGGAGAAACATGATGGGTTCAAGAGTCTGAGGTGAGTGTACTAAACTGGGGCAAACTAGCAAGGCCTGCTCGTTAGGATTCATCTGGGCATCACTTTTCTTTGGAGACAAGGATGCTCCTTTCCTCTGGGTAGAGGGAGGATACTCTCACATAAGGATTTTATGACCTGTTTCAGGGGAAAAGAGTGATGACCTTCCTTGCTGCTGCCCTTTTCTCAAACTCCTCCAGGTTAAAATATTCAATACACCAAGGTGCCATATTTTGGGGCAGTATGTTGTGAACCCCATCAGGGTCAGTCTTCCTTCTCTTTGCTGGCGCTTGATTATAAAGGAGCTGCAAAACTCTCTTCCAATTACTTTGCAATGCTCAGATTAAAAAAAAAAAAATTTTAGCTATTTGACAGAGATATCCATAGGGAGAGAGTGAACACAAGCAGGGGGAGTGGGAGAGGGAGAAGCAGGCCTCCTGCTGACCAGGGAGCCTGACGTGGGGCCAGATCCCAGGACCCTGGGATCATGACCCTAGCCAAAGGTAGACCCCTAAAGACTGAGCCACCCAGGTGCCCCTGTAATGCTCAGATTTGTCAGATTCTATCTCAGCACACCCCAACAGGTTGATAGGTGTTAGCTTTGTAAAAAAGGCTGTGTGGTCCTTTTGGACCATGTTGGCTTAAATCAGGGAAGATGGTTTCTTTACTGTGGGCCTTCCTTCTACTTTTAATATGCTAAACATGCATCGGGGATGTCCTAAAGGACTACATAAATATTTCATCAATTCTAAGCTGTGCTTTCTTCCCAGTTTTATCACTCTGAAGCTGGGATAGCTCTTGGACAGCGGAATCTTAACACGGGCTGTTGGCAGGTGGCTGCTGAGACCTGCTCAGCTGAGGTCACTGCTGGGCATGTGTGAACTTGGTCACAGCTGTTCCTGCTGTCATCACATTAATTGAGTTAGGTACCTTCTTAGGATATATGTGATGTTTAATTGCTCTTCAGAATGTCTTCAAAAGATCACACCCTGATCTGGCTCTGAAATGAAATGTTACTGTATAAGCCAAAAGGTATAGAAACAGAGCAGTGGGGTGTAGGTATGATGTCAGAGTGGCAAAACTTCAGCACCGAGGGCTTAACAATTCCTTATTTTCTTGCAAAGCAGCAACCAAGTGCTTGATAGAACTTAAGAAAGGAAGATATCCCATAGTTGAGGGTGTATTTTGTTACTGAGGTGGGTACAAAAGGATTACCTAGCATGTGCCAAGAAAGCAATAAACCCAAAATCAGAACTGCCAAATCCCCAGGAGAGCTTTGTGTCCTGCTTTTTCTTTCTTAGTGGTACCTAACTAATAGCTTTATAGATCTCAAATATGTTAGTGTGAAGTATTTCCAATCTTATTTGACTATAGACCCTTGTTTCTCCAGGAACACCTCTTAGAACTAGTGTTCTGTGGAATATAGTCAAGATAATATGCAGCACTTATGATTAGCTAGTCACTATTAAATATTTCATCTATATTAACCAAATGACTTCTCATCACCATCTCATGATGGAGGTACTATTTATTATCTCTAGGCCACTATTAGCTTCATAGTAGAGTGAGGATTCAAACCTAGGGGGCTGCAAGCATGCATTCTTGACCACTAGGGCACCAAGTCTGAGAAACTCCATTCTAGCTACAGACAAGGAGGTGGACATGGTGCTGCAAATCTAGCCCATGGTTAAAAAATGAGTATCACAATCCCCACTGACTCTTAAAATATTTAGCAGGAATCTTCAAGGAAAAAAAAATTTCCTGTTTTTTGTTTATATTATGAATGCATTATAACTTTTTGTATAAGCCTAAATGATTTGCACTCCTTCCAGGTTATGAAGAATAGGAAAAAAAGTCACTTTCAGTGGAAGACAGATACACTGCAAGTTTAACCTAAATAAAATACCAGAATCCAGTGGAACAACTAACAGCCCCCATGTAGGCCATATCTGAATGCCCTGAAAAGATCCACTACTTTACAGGTTGCTCCTCCAGTGAAAGGAAAGCTGGTGCTTTTCCCAACAAAGTTGTGTGTGTGTGTGTGTGTGTGTGTGTGTGTAAGGGGGAGGGGATTTATAAAAATTAGACCACTTTGTGCCACTTTCTCATCTTTTGACCAGCTACTATTTGTGAGATAAGTTTCAGTGAACCAGATGGACTTGCTGATGGATGTAACAATCTCTTATTTGCTCAGCCCCTGGGGAAGAGGCAGGTGACAGAATGATTTCAGCAATAAAATGAACCTGAGCACAAAAGGTGGTGTTATTGCTTGGCGCTGCAGTGCTGTTCAGGTCCCATCAGCTCAGATTTCCCAGACAGGTGCTTGTGAGGATGATTCTGCCTGTTCCATCTCCTTAAGAGGATTTCAACTCTGTAATAGGCTTTTCCCACGTGTGGGTTGCTTCCCGAGATCAGTTAGGTCTTCCTGAGATATGTGTGGCCTTATAAAAGCTGCAAGTGAATACAACAGCTAGTATCTTATGTTAATTTAAGGAAATTTTACTCTTCAGGAGATAAAATGCTGTTCAGTTGCTATTTATCTGTGCCAGCTGGGTAAGAAAGGGAGATGATTCATAGCCCGGTCCAGTGGGACCAGTGAAAGGCTTGATTACACCTTGGTTCCAGGCTGTCTTGTGGGGCAAGTGCCTTGGCATACATGGGTTCCAGGAAGACTGTAATAAGTACTCGTAGTTTGGGATTTAACTTGGGTACCGGATCTTATGAGAACACACAGGTGTTGGATCAGTTGTAGACAGGATCTTTTCTGTTCATTACCCAAGGGGGATAAAAGATATGGATTCCACTTTAATATGTGAATTTTAACTCCAAAGAAATCAGATGGAGATGGCTATCTTATGGCAGCTGGCTAAATGGCAGCTATCTAAACACAAAGGAGACAATACAATTCCCAGGGCTAAGAGAAAGTTAACAAAGGGAAAGTTCTAGTGCATTAAAATAAGTCATCCTTATACAATAGCCACTCCATGTATATATTATGGTACAAACCAATCGGTAGTAAAATTTTGACAGGGTTCATTACGCTAAGTTTATAAATCAAGCTTCTGGGCTTAAGCAGCAGAGGCATTCTTTGTTGCGGGAGGCTGCAAACTAGAAGGTACTTGATAAGAAAGTGCTAGAAAGAGTCCAGCTGTTAGCTATTATGTTTCTTTCGAACCTACTATTTAAGACATGTATAGTTACAAAGAGAGTATATGAGGAGATTAAAAACCATGGTTACGTTAACGTACACCTATCTCAGGGGAACTGCACTCCCTTTTCTTTCATTGTATGCTTCTTGCAGCTTCTCTGCTTCATCTGGCAGGCTGCCTCTGGAATCCGTACTGCCTTAAGTCACTTTCAACAGTGTTGGAGGATAGAAGTCATTAAGACAGCATAGATGCTAGGGGCAAGACAGCTAATAAGCCACTTGAATGCCAGTCAAGAATATGTGCGGCAGGTGAAACATAAATATTTTGCTGGAGGTAGAATGACATATAGATAACTACTGTTTCAGAGGGATGTTAATTATCTTTAATAAAATTAAATCTGAAGTCTTCCACCCATATGGAAATAATCTGAGCTAAAAAAAAATATTTGAATATGAGGTGGTATAGACTATTGTATTATAAGGTTTCTTAATTCCCATTTCATTTTTCCAACCACTACTGTAAGCAAAGGTAACTATTTCAAGACTTTTAAGCCAGGTTTGCAAAACTCTGTGTGGCAACCCGGGAAGATCCTCTTAAGGGCCAGCCCCTCTCATTGGGCAGAATTTCCCGAGATAACAAGTCACACTTCTCCCTCCTTCTCTAACAAAAAGCCAAGAGGTACAAATTCCTACTTACGCAACAGGAAAATGACTGATTAGTCCAACTCTTCATCTCAGCACATTAGTATTGCGCTGTAGTCAAGCTACAGTCTTTCCTTCACCCATGGGAGGTGCTGAATGCTGGTAGGACAGTCCAGCTTTTGGGGATTCGCTTTCCGTGTTAGAGTGCAGCCTGCTGGGCCAGCCCTGGAGGAATGGCTCCAGCCTCCTCACGCTCTCTTCTAAAGAGTCAACCCCTAGAGTTCAGGTAGGTGCTGACGAGCTGCTATTTGTGGGGAATACTTGACCGATTTTCAAACAGTCACAAATTAGTTCATACAGCACTTCCTTATTTGTGCATATCCAAAAGGGTTCCTTGTGATAGGTAAAGAAGAGAAGCACATGACTTTCAGAGAATACCATGTAACATGTGTCTCCTAGGGCAGAGCAGTAGCTAATTCACATGGATGCTTATTTCATGAGGTACTGATGGTTATAGTTGGGTGGCCTTATTTATACATGGGAAGGGAGGGAGTGGGGGTGGGACTGGATGTTTTTTCCAGTCTCTTCTCTGATTCATTTAGAATCAGAGAAAGAGATAATAAATTGTACCTTTTAAAAAAATGTGATCCCTATTTATTCTCTTCCCTTTACTACCCAGAAATGCAGTTACTTTGTATCACTGAAGTGAGGGTAAGTCTTAAGATTTCTTTTCTTTGGGTCTTCAACAGAGTTTTTACAATATAGTCTTCCTAAATTATATTTTGTATTCTCTCACATATTTGCACATGTGAAGATTACTCTGGGTCAGTAATCAATCATGGTCAACTTACTTAACCTCTCTGTGCCTCAGTTTCCTCAGCTATAAAATAGAGATAATAGTTCTACTTTATAGAATTATTGTGAAGATTAAACAAATTAATATATGTACAAAGCTCCTGAGATGAGTACTTGGTATATAGCACAGTATATATAATTATTATCATTATTTTTATATTTTCATCAAGACTTCCTGGGTCTTTACCACTTACTTTCCTAGGCATGGGGTAGGGAAGGGGTAAAGCAGAAACACTGAGGTTTAGAAAACATTATAACCTTTTAGGATCTTGTAATCTAATACGCAAAAAAATGACATATTTGGCACTTCATGGAGCAATATGTTATGATATGTAAATAGAATCAAATGCTGACTTCAGGTACTGGAGTAATGGAATGAATGAAATTTCATGTCATACACCTCAGGGAGAAGGCTGAAATGGAGCTGGGCTGGAGAGCAGGTAGGACTGAGATAGCTGGAGAAAAGTGGCGGGGTGGGGGCGGGGGGGATTCCAGGTGAGAACAATGTGCATGAAAGCAGAGAGGCCAGAAAGAGCTTGAGATGGTCTTGGGGTAGTAGAGAGACAGAGCTGGCAAGGCAGGTGAGTGGAAGAAAATAAGACTGTATAGAATGGAGCTGTATTATGGAAGTTCTAGAAAGTTCTATCCACTTAGACGATTCTTCACCTTATAGGAATGCAAACAGCAGAACTCAAAGTTTTCTGAGTGAAGGAGAGACCACATGAGGACTTAGATAATATTTCCATGGTTTGTGTTTGGAAGCTGAGTCCACAGAGACCAATGAGGAGCTTGTTGCTCTGGTTGTGTTAGTGTGAGAAGATGGGGACTAAACCAGGGGCATAGAAGAGGGATAAGGAAAAAAGAAAATGACTGAAGAAAAAGTTAGTAGGAAAGTTAGCAAGACCTATTTGTCAACTGACTGAATTTTTAAAAATGAAGTAATGGGTAAATCAAAGATTACTACAAATGTTAAATCTGTGGGTCTGAAAACTAGTGATAGTACAGAAAAACTTGAGAACTGATAGGGAGAGAAGCAAAGGAAGAATTTGGGGTTGCATACATTAAATTTGCAGTGATAGTGTGATCTCCAAAAATAATAGCTAACATTTATTATTTACTATGTGCCAGGGACTATGTGTTTCACATATAAAACTCATGTAATCTTCATGGAAACTGAGGTAGGTACCATTATTCCCATTTCATAAAGGATGAGAAGCTAAATATAACCCCATGTTTATATAGTTAAACTTAAACCTGAGCCATCTGATTCCAGCCCTTATGCCTGATCACCACTTTGCTTGGATACTCTTAGGAAGTCCAACTCTGATAAGAAGTAAAGACTGAAATTAGCAGGTGGGAGTTATCCACACGGGGGTGTTCATTGCAGTTATAGGAATGATAAGGGAGAAAGCATGCAGATAGGAGAGCAGATGGCCAAAAATGAATCCTGGAGGAGGCCCCTGTGAGAAGTCAACCACAGGGAATGGTGCAGAACTCCAGCAAAGTTGCATAGATCAGAGAATAGGCTGTAGGCTTGGACTTAAGAGGATTGGGTTAAGGATAGGAGTGGAGAGGGATATCAGGGTTAAGAAGAGAAAGCTTCATCAGAGACCTGATGGGGAAGCAACTGAGTTTTGTCAGGTAAATGAGGAAGAAAGTGAGGATGGTCAAATGAAGGGTTTGTATTTCTTTGCTTCCTTTTCCAAAATAAGAGAGACCTATTTTTCAGGAAGCTAGGGGAAAGAAGGAGAATGTGATGTGGAAAATGCAAGGAATACATGTGGGGAAGGAAAGATCCTATAGGCATCATAAAAGGGGAGAATCAATAGCTTTTATTTTAGCTGTGAGGAGAGGACTATTGGATTGTCAGGTCTCAGGTTTGGAAATGGGCTTTAAACTCTGGTCACTAGTCTGGCTCTTGAGATAGATGTGTTGTATTGAGGAGGACAAAGTTGAATATGCATTTTTCCCTTAAATTTATTTGTTTAGGAAAGAGATACATGTGACATCTCCACTTGTATGTCTTGGTAGGCATCTCAAAATTATTAAGTCCCAAATAGCCCCTCATTTCTCACCCTTGTGTCTGGTCCTCACATCCCACCTTGCACCTAACAGTTTCCCCTTCCATCCTTCTAACTGTTGTGGCTAAAAGCCTTGGCTTCATCCTTAACTTCTGTTTCTCTCATATATGACATCTAATTCATCAGCAAGTCTTGTGTAACCTGTCTTCGAGATTTGTCAATAATCTGATAATTTCTCACTATCTCTGCGAATACTACCCTATCTAAGCCACTCATAACGTTTCCCCGGACTAGTGTGGTGCCCCTGCTCCCAGCCTCACCTCCTTTCAGTCTACCTTCTCTTAGAAGCCAGGGTCGTTCTTTAACAATAGCAATTGTATCATGACACTTTGATGTCCAGAACCCTGCAATGGGTTTTCATCTGTCTCGGAATAAAATCCAAAGTCCTTGCCATGGTCTATAAGGTCATCATCTACTATTTCTCCCCAAGCTTCCATTGCTCAACCTACGCTGGCATTCTTGAACAAGCCAAGGATGATTTTGTATCATGGCCTTTGCATATGCTTTTCCCTATGCTTTGATTCATTCATTCATCAAGTGTTTCTGGAGTGTCTACTACAAGCCAGGCACTATTCTAGACAGTTGGGACACATTAGTAAACATGGTGGATAAAGATCCAGTATGTCTGCAACTCTTGCTCCCTCTATTCAACTGTCATATGATCAGAGAGGCCTTCCCTGACCACCTGGCCTAAAATAGCAATCATTTCCCACCATCTCATTATTCCATATTCCTTTATCCTGGTTAATTTTCCTTAATGACTCCTATCACCATCTGACAAAAGTCATTATTTCTTTGTCAACTACTCGTCTCTCTCAGGAGGAGGCAAACTCCTTGGCAGGGACTTACATCCTTGGCTTTAGTCTTTGTTATAGTTTTAGAATAGGGCCTAGAACAAAAATGGTATTTTCAGATATTTGCTGAATAATTAATGCATATGATTGATGAGAGGTTTATTTTAGAAACTCATCTTTTCAATTCTGGGAAGATTTCTTGAAAAATAATTTTAAAATTTCTTTTTCCACACCCCCCCCCCATTTTCCCTTTTACAAATTCCTATTATAATGTCAGATTTTGGACCTCCTCAATGATGTTTTATTGTATTTTATTTCTTTTTATGGATTTTTAAAATATATTTTTAAAAGATTTTTATTTCTTTATTTGACAAACAGAAATCACAAGTAGGTAGAGAGGCAGGCACAGAGAGAGGGAGAGGAAGGCTCCCTGCCGAGCAGATAGCCCAAGATGCGGGGCTCAATCCCAGGACCCTGGGATCATGACCTGAGCCAAAGACAGGGGCTGTAACCTCCTGAGCCACTCAGGCACGCTTTTTTATGGGTTTTTAAAATCTAACTTGCAGGAGGTGGCTTCAACTTTATTTTCTAATGTCTATATGACATTTTAAGATGCTGCTATAATATTGGTAGTTGCTAGGAGTTTTTTTCATTTTGTCCCATTACTCCTATTATGTTGGTATAGACAGTTTACTTACAAACTGGACTAAATAGGGTCATGCAGAAATCAACTTCATTCTTTCCCATCCAGACCCCTTCCTGGATGCAATGTTGGTACCCAAACCTTTTCAGTTACTCATAGATAGGGAAAAAATTTTTTTCCTTGCTTACTTTTAGTCACAAGAACAGCCTCCAGTTGGTAGTTTTTAAAGTTTTCATGTAGTCTAAAACTCAGATCCAGTTCTTTTTTCCTTTCCTTTTGCTCCCCCACCCCTGCCGCCCCGCAACTGTGCCCAGTTGGAGAGAGACACATACTTGACTTCTCCACTTGCTTGTTTTGCCTTGTCCATCTACTTTTCCCTGCTTCGTAGGTGCTACTTCTGACCTTTCCAGGGCCAGGCTCAGAAGGAGAGAGGATTAATGAAAAAGACCTTTTGTGGCTTGTGTAGCCTGTTACCTAATGATTTCCTCTGAGGTGGCAGGTGCACAATTGCTGGCTTTCCCCCTTGAGGGATGTTTTGGAGGTGTGCCCACCAAGGACCTCTGACTGCAGCTCCCCTGGTGTGGGAGGGGCTGTACATCAATAGCCACCATGATCCCACCCTCAGCACCTGGTGTTCTGACAATCCACCTGCGGGTCACATTTCCCCTCAAGGCAATACTCTGAGGTAGAAGCAAACATGACCCCAGGTTGGCTGGCTCCCATCTGTCCAACTTGGCCCACAAGGAAACTCCAATGTTTTTGCCCTACTGTGGGCAAAAGTGTAGTTTGTTCCTAATGCACCCACCTCTTGTCATTCTGCCATTAAACCAGCAATTCTAGCTGTAATCTTTCACCATTGTGCATCCCTAGGCAGGAATTAGATAATACCCTTTCTGTTTCACAAAGTCCAAGGAGCATTTGACAAGCTCTCCAAATGTTCCCTGGAAGCTCTTTTCACTCGGCTAGAGGTAATGGAAAGTACATTCTTTCCTTTCTCCCAAAACGCAGGTTTGAGGTATTATTGTGTAGGTCACAGCATGTAGAAAGGATGGAAGAATTAAGGGGGGGGTAGACATTAATTTTTCTGTAGCCAGAGGAAGAAATGAGACTTCTTGATGGTGTAGCTCTGTAAGCTGCCAAACCCTGGGTTCCTTGGGCAGCAGAAATGTCCCAGCTCGGCCCCAAAGAAGACTTGCATCCCTGACAGATCACTTTAGCCCTGAGATCTGTATCTCTTAACCACAGGGTTCTAGAATAGTTGAAACATATGCCTCTGCCCCTCACAGAGACAGGAAATAATATTAAATACTGATATAATGACCGATAATCAGTATTTGTAGATTTTGAAGGGCCATTAAATAAGAGTTGTTACAAGTATGATATGGGTCTCAAACAGACCTGGGTTTGAGTTTTAGCTCTGCCACCTATTAGCATATGACCTCAGGCAAATCATTAAACATCTCAGCATTTTAACTGCCAAAAAATGTTAACAATAACACTTGTTTCCTAGATATTAGAGTTGTCTGTGTGCTGCACTGCCTGATGGTAACTCAGCAACACCAATATTTTTCCTCTCTAAGGCTGGAAACTATCAGAACATCTGGAACTTCCCAGAATCTCCTTTCCTTTGTGTTTCCAAACTGGAGTTTGTGAGACTTTGAGTTTGTGACTTGTGCAAGACTTGGTAGGCAAAAATGAAGGGCAACCATTGTTTCTGGGATAATAGTTGCTTAGGCTCATTAGGACTTTACTGGACACAGAGGCTCATAGTCCTCTCTGTGAGCTCTCATTCTGTAGCTACTGCAGGATTCTCAGACATGCCCCAAGAGCTGAGTCTCTCCATCCACAATCTAGGACTTTAGACTGAACACATCAGTGACTCTCCATTCCTCTGGCTGCCACCTTCTAGACCTTTACTCCTCCAGCTCCTCTCACATATACGTAAGTCCTCATTTCCATATAAAGTCCCTTATTCCTGATTTACCATTTACAGTGGCCCTGTCTCCCTAATGAAACCATTCTGATACAGCATACACAGTCATAAGACATGTAATGAGCACTCAATAAGTATTAGATAATAATAATCATCATCACAAAAGGTACTATTCACAATAAATTGGAGACTAATGAGTAACGTTAAACTGCATGAGTTCCACTGTGTAGGAAGAGCAAAGATGAGGAATGGTACAAATGGTACAAAAGGAGACCATTCTTAATACCTAATACCAGGAACTGCTCACATTTCTGTAATGTTTTCCAATTTACAGAGTGTTTGCACACATTTCACTGCATTTCGCTGAGATGAAGCATGTTTTGGAAACGGACCCTTTCTTCCTTCCTTTCTTTTTTTTTTTTTTTAAAGATCGTTTATTCATTTGATGGAGAGAGAGAGATCACAAGTAAGCAGAGAGCTAGGCAGAGAGAGAGAGAAGGGAAGCAGGCTCCCTGCTGAGCAGAGAGCCCGATGCGGGCTCGATCCTAGGACCCCGAGATCATGACCTGAGCCAAAGGCAGAGGCTTAATCCAGTGAGTCACCCAGGTGCCCCTGGACCCTTGCTTTCTTAACAATAAAAGCCCATGATCAAGAGAACATCACAATTCAAAGAAGAAAGTGGCTTGAATTGTAAAGAGAACATTTACTTGGAACATGATTTTTTCCACAGTGTTCTTTCATCAGAAGAGAATGGAGTTGCCCTCTGGCTCGTGTGCCCTCCAGGGTTATGGAGTGAGCCTTGGATTACAAGGAAGAAGCAGCAAACCCTAACAGCTGTCTATATAGCGGAAAGTTTAACTTTCTAATCAATTTACTGATCATACACTTTATGGCATGTATGCTTGTGATTGTGCTATATGGTAATTAGGCATAAATGATAGAAATCAGTTGATAAATGGCTGTAATTGGAATTAATTTTCGGGAGTCAATATTTTTTTCTCTCTTGGTTCACTAGTATTGACAATTTTTTTTTTGAAAATGTGAGTTTGATTTACCTATACGTAAAAAGGCAAGTCCTAGGCCAGTTCTTCAGGTCCAGTTTCTTTTTCTTTTGCTTCTCTCTCAGATGCTCCTCTCCAGCTCCTCTGTGCTCCTGTCCAGCTCCAATTCCCACCCTTTGCCTGTGAAACTCATAAAGAGAGTGTCCTGCTGGCTCCTGCATCTGGCTCTGGTCTGCCTGGCCCCAACACAGGCAGAATCTCCAGAATCACAAGGTTATGGGTGGCCTGATAGGGGAGCAAAGCGGACCATGCCATGGTAAGGTAGAGGAGACAGGCTAGGGAAAGGAAAGGGCACCATGAGATCCAGGTCCAGTGTTTTGTCTCTGGGAGTTCTGAACCAGAACCAAGGGCATCAGGGCTGACAGATACCATCCTTCCCTCTTGAAGTTTTTGGGACTCACACTCTAATAGCTACGTTGAGGCTGGCTCCCCATGGGAACAGAGATATTTTCACCTATGGCTTCAAATGCATGTTTTTTTTTTGTTAATTTTTGTTTATTTAGTAAACATGCTTACAGTGATGCACTTGTCGGTGTCCCACTTCAGGGAAGGACAGTTGCTGCTGTTACTATCAGTGCCCTGTGATGTTACCTCCACTGCAGGGAACCACATTCCCCAAGGCTGGTCCCTGCCTAAGGCCCAGCACAGGATAAGGCTGGCAGGCCCTTTCAGTTCCAGACTCTGCATGGGGTTAGCTGAAGTTGTTGTCAGGCCTGCCTTGAAGCCTGACTTTTTCTACCCAGTCCTGCTCCATTGCCCTCCCTCCCATAGGTTTTGGTCCTACGGGACCTCACTAATAAACATTCAGCACATTCAACTTCAGCTCGGGGTCTGTTTCCCACAGAGCCCAGCCTGAAACAGACCTTGTTCTCCATATCACCAATTTTTGTCAACATCTCTATTTTGCAGTTATCTCCCTTGCCATTCTCTCCGACCTTGCCAATTTATACCGGTTTTATTCAGCTACTGTCATTTTATAGCATTTTTAGAGGGAATGGAGATACATGCATATGTATAACCCACAATTGTATTGGTCAGAGTTAAATTGCAGAGAACATAATTTATTCAGCTATTAAAAGCAGAGAGGGTATTTTTAGGTATTCAGTGTTGAGACAGATTTATTGTAATAATAGCCCCACATTTTCTTTCCTCCTTTACAATTTGTCTTTGTAACTCCTCCCCTCAAGGGATTGAGTCTGTTTCCCTACCTCCTGAATCTGGGCTCGCCTTTTGGCTTGCTTTGGCCAATGGAATGTGGCAGAAGTGATGGTGTGCTGTTTCTAAACCTAAACTTCAAAAGACTTTGCACACTTTGCTCTCCCTCTTGGTAGCTTCCTCTCCCATGAGAATAATCCAGGCTGGCCTGTTGGAAGGTGAGGGAGCAGTGAGAGTTGTCCTAGCTGAGGTCATCTGAGACCAGCTGACCACAAGTACTTGAGCAAGCTCAGCGAGGTCAGCCAAACTCAACTTAGACTATTAGCACTGGCCGGCTGACCCACAGACTCATGAGCAGTAATAAATGGTTACTTTTAAGCTGCTGCCATTTGGAAGGTGTTTGTTATACAGCATTATTGTGGCAATAGATGAATAGATGACTGACACAGAGTGGCTTACAAAATCCTTGGGAAGGCAGAAGTAAATTCTAGGGCCACATCATAGCATAGACTCACTAATGCCAGTTGTTGAACCAGGAGATTCTTGGCTAAGTTAATAAACCACTGCTGTAAACCCTGGCTCCGGAACTCCGTCACTGCTGTGGTGATCAGGGAGGGACTGCTGGAGCTGGTCTCTCAGAACCATGCTCCTCTTGCTCCTGCATGACTTAACGCCATCAAAACAGGGGCCCGTGCCTTGCTTTTCTCTCATTTAATTTAGTTTATGCAAGTGCTTCTCATCAGCAAAGTAAGTTATACCTGACCTTCAGCTGTGAAGGGGCCTAGTGTCAAAGGGACTTTCAGCTTTCTAATTTCTGTAACACATGAGAAGGAGGCTGGAGTGGATTTGCAGTGTCAGCCTCAGTATCTGCCACAGCTATGAGGGTCTTAAACAAGCAGGATTCCTAAACCCTATTGTAAGTTGTGCTCAATGATATTGAAACAATTTCTTTAAATTCATATATGCAGTATTTTACAATTGGGCAAATCACTCTCTGTAGGGTCAAACATTATTAATTCCATTACTGGAAGTTGAGAGACTGATGGATGAACATAGTACTAAGATTTTATGAACTCATTGTTCCACCCAAACCCACATGAATGAGTTTTGAAGGGAACCAACAATTATAAGTCACTAAAGAGAGGAAAACTGATTGATGTTTTGAAAAATTCTTAGTCCTGTATTGATATTTGATAGAGCATTACTAATATAACAGTGATTTCAGAAGGAATAATAACAGCCATTTGGTATTGACCTGAAGTTCTTAAAGTGCCATACACTATGTGATAAAAGAATATTTAATATTTTTTTTTTGGTGTAGAGATTTAGAAGGTTCTTAGGAAGACCGTGTCTTCGTATCTGACCTTAAGATAAGATGTCTGGTTTTAAGCGGTAAGAGAATTAATGCTTCCCAATCTGCCGAGTTAGCAATTCCAGAAAAACCTGTGTCCCTGTGGATACTTTCATAAGGATGGTGATTTAAGACAATAATCACTGAAGAAAAGGGAAGGCAATTTTTAGATAACAGAATTATCAACAGTGAAGGTATTAAAATGAAAAGAATTTTGTGCCTTCATATTTTGTTCCCTGTGTCTTGTTCAGCAGAGGTACATGTTATTATGGTATGTGAGGCCTGCAGTGGCTTATGCCTTACTAAGAATTGCTTTCTTTATTCAGTCATGTCCTTGTAAGGCTAGGAGTCCCTGGAGATCACCAAAAAAAAAAAAAAAAAAAAAATAGTACTTGTTGTCAGGAGAACCTGCAGTCCCTCCAAAGGTGCCCCATTGATTCAAAAGCCAGATACTACTTTGTCAACAAAGGCATCCCATGGTGAAAAGTCTGGAGGATAAATTGCCCTTGGCTCATTGGTGAGTCTTAATCACACACCCTGTTTATTTGATTTTTACTGACACTAATGTGAAGTATCAGCAATTTTGCTTCTGAGACAGAATCCATTGATTTAATTTTGTCATTTTTCTTTTCAGTTGTGCAATCAGAAATTCATTCATGTGAGGAAAAAGCAGTTAAAACTGATGGAAAAACGCCAAAGAAAGCGGCTGTCAGACTGATTGCTTTTTGGCAGAGGCTGAGATCAAGATTTACCAAGGAAAGCCCACCTAAATATGACCCAAGAGGAAGTGACAGAGCTCAGGAGCATTACTAAGCCTGGATACTGGAATTTCAGTTACCTTGCAAGGTATTTGAGAAAAAAATTACATATATGCAAACACAAGGAGGATACTGTGTTGCTACAAAGGTGGTTACTAAAACAGTTTTACTCTGATTTTTGAAGCAACAAGAGAAAAAAAGACAACAGAGAGCAAGTTAACTTCCCTTTTTGAGACCCAGTGTGGAGCAAATGTTAGTTCTGGCCTGGATTCAGCTACCTAGGGCAGAACAAAAGGGAAAGTGAAAGGTTCTCTAGATCAGGTGTTTCCCAGGATGGAACTTAAAAGCAGCTGTCTTATCCTGTCTGCTCTTTAGTCCCCAGTCTTGGATCAAACTTCCTGGCACAGGATTTAAAAGCATCTCCAGAATACCTGAGTGTTCATTTTTAGCCCCTTCCTTGAATCCTTCTTTCTATCATTTATTTCCTGGGCTCTTTATATATGTGTCTGTTCCCTCATTCGACTGCAAACAGATTTGAAGGCAGGGGCTGTGTCTTACTCATCTCTGTATTTCCTTTCTTCAATCCTTTTGTCTAACAGTGTTCTGCTTATACGTAATAATTTTTGTTTGTAAAATAAAAATATGGTTAGAGGCACATACAGATTTAACACAAACACAAATTCGAATACAATCACAAATTCTCCAGTGTTTCAGTTGCTGTCAAGAAAATGATGGGAAATTGCTAGATTTGTGAAGTGACTGACATCCTATTTTTAATAGAATAAGTAGCATGTTCATATTTTAAGTGCAAGTAAAAGTTGTTTTTAAAGGATTTTGATATGTTTTTGTTTCTAAAAGAAGCAACAGACTTATTGCAATATATGTAAATCAAAGTGAATCTAGAAAGGGTCAATGGAGTTATTTTACGTAAAGAGAATAGCCACAGTAACTGCCAGTACCTTAGAATTTCCATGTATTTGTAAGTTGAATGAAATGTTCTTCGTCTTCATAGCTGCGGCTAATAGAGTTAGACACATGAGTGAGGGAACAAGTGCCTGTGAATGATGCTATTATATAACATCATTTTTTCTTTCTTTCCTTTGCCTTTCTTTTATCCCAACTGATGGTATGCTATACACATGTCTATAACTTTTTTTTTTTTAAACTAATTCCATGTTAGCTCATTAAAAAATGCTTCCTTCTTTTAAAGGGTTGGGTGGGTGAAAGTTAACAAGTTACAGACTCTTACTTCTGGGCTCTGCAGAGCCCTTGGGCCCTGCTAACTAACTCCGTGTTAGGTCTGCTAAGAGAGGACACTAGAGACTGGAATGCTTGCTTTGGTTCACTGTTTGCTCTCAGCAGCACCTTAATGATGACCTTTTGCTCCATGGTAGCAGATGGTTGCAGTCACCAACTTCTCCTTTTCTTTCTTTTCTTTTCTTTTTTTCTTCTCTTTTCTCTTCTCTTCCTTTCTCTTTTCTTTCTTTCTTATTTTTCTTTTCTTTCTCCTTCCTTCCTTCTTTCCTTCCTGTCATTCCCAGAGGCAACCTCACTTTGTTCCCTAAGAGACACCAGTACCAGCTGGGCAGTGACCCTTTTCAGAGGTCTGGCCAACTCCCTGAGGCTTCTAGGGAAAAACTCTATGTTCCAGTAACATCAACATTTTCCTCTGCTCTTCTAACCTCAGGGATATGAGCTGATTTCTGGAATTACTATTCTCTGTTTCTCCTTTTACCTTTTCTAAGTTCTTCAATAACTCATAAACCAACAGTTTATATTAAGCTTTCTTTCTTGAAATGCCTCTAGTAGTTTCTGTTTTCCCATCCAGACCCTGATGGATATAATATTTGACACCTGAAGCGGGTCTGACCCAGCTGGATCTGCTGGGTTGGGAGTCCCAAGGAGCAGAGCAGCCTGCACTGCCACCTGAACCTGCTGCATAGCCCGTTCTTGCTCTGGGCCCTGGAAGAACCATAATATATTTAACTAGGATGGACATTTAAATTGCTTCCAATTTTTGTTACTCTAAACAATGCAGTAAACAACCTTAAATATATATTTTTCACATATGGGGAAGTATATTTGTAAGATAAAGTTATAAAAGTAGAATTGCTGGGTCAAAAGGATTGCCAAATTGTCTTTCGTAGTGGTGGTACCAATTTAATCTCTCACAGGTAATAAAGAGAAATCTATATGCATGAGAAATTGAGAAATCAACAAAGGGAAGAGGGAGCCAGGTATGACACCCTTGTTCTACTAAGAGGGCCTTGGTCTGTGGAAGAGAGAAGCACGTCTAGAATAGAATGTCATAGATTGACACAGAATAAAACTTATCACTTGAGGATTACTTTCTGGCTCAGGCTCTATGGAATTCCCTTTGGAGAGAAGGAAGGCTAAAATACAAATGGAAAAGCCCTCTAAGACATTTGATACTCACTTAATAGAGGGTAACACAAAAATGGGAGAGAGGTGCCTTGTCATAGATCACCAGCAGGGCTGGGCCATCTGAGGAGGCTTCATGCCTCCCAGTGGAGACTCAGTACTCAGCAAATGTGGCTGTGGTGGCCAGCAGCACGATGACCCATACAGATGTGCGGCTATTGGAATGCGAGGCAGTGTTGCCCAGCATACCATATGTGCTAGCTGTAAGCACGTGTGAGATACCTCCTTAGGACTCCCCAAAACACTTGGGTGGAACATTGTAGGTACTGGGTCTGCTTCCTGCAGTAGGAGAGAGTGTAAATCTGGTAAAACACAAGCTACAAACTCTCATTTACTAAGGTTGTCCCTTTTTTTCATTTGCACATCTTTGCCTCATTAACTTGAGTGGGATTTCCTTTAAAAATAACAAAATAAAGTACTCTTCTTCTTTGAATCCTTATAACCCATCTCAGCAAACCCAGGTTGTGACTCAGTCATTTTTACCATCTGCTGTTCCTGTCATTTATTCCCTGCTCAGCAGAGCTCTACTGCAGTTACCATGGCCCTTGTTTAGCAGACAGGCTACATTCTACATGCTTGCTTTTACTGATTTCACCTCCGCATTATGTGGTAACAAAATTGTGTATACAGCCAGAGCTGTGTTTTTCCTACTCTAAGATCTGGGCTGTTTTCCTGCAGAGGACCTCTGTTTTATGTTCCACCATGTCTTGTTTGAGCCATACTTAATTTACACGACAGAGATGCTGTCATCACCAATTAACATTTATCAAGGGCCCCCTGGATGCATGGCCACATAGAGGCTAATTTAATATTCTTTTTGTTTCAGATATCAGGTGCCTCCTTCAAATGAATTTTTAAGTATCTCCCTGATGATGAGGAAGAACAGAGACATCAATTAGGATTCAGGAAGACACGTCTTTGCAGAAAATGCTTAGAGCATCAAGGACTGCTATTAATATTTGGAAGTTTAAGAGAGAGTATATTTTCCTCAGTCAACAAATGACAAAAGTAAAGGCATGGTTTTCATTGTTTCTGGAAGAAGCCTGGCAGCATTCCATTCAGACATCTGCCCTTTGATCGTTCTATTTTCCTCTTTACTTATTTCAGTCCTTCTAATCTTCAAGGCTGAGTCTGAATATTTCTTCCTGAGGCTTCTTCTAATCATCTCTGCCTTTAAGGACAACTCCCTCCTATAGTCCTTACTATTATACCTGTCATTTGAAAATTTAGTACCTATCCATTATACTAAGATTGAATAAATAAATGTTCATCTTCTGCAAGTATATTAGACAACTGTCTGGACAATTTATTTCTTTTCCATGTTCTGTCAGTGGTAGAATCTGGAGGAATATTTATTGATGATGGCAGCAATCTATTATAATCAGATGGAATTTTATTTTTAAAATGAGTGAGAGGAGAGACAATGCTGAAGCTTTGGAAGTTGAGACTCACAAGCATCATTCATGTTTCTAACATAAGAGCTCTATGTGCCTTTTTTTTTTTTTTTTTTTTTTTTTTTTTGGTGGGGCAGAGTAGTAGGAGGCAAGACCATCACTGGAAGTGAGCAGTTTCTCTTTCAAGAGTCACTAAAAATTTTTTTGGTCTGCCTAAGCAATATTTATTTTTTGCTGACCCCCCTTTTTTTTTCCCCAAGGGAATTCCTATTCATTTTGTACCCACTAAATAACAAATGCTGTAGTAGGGTTGTTGCACAAACTCTAGGGTAAGTATTATTATGCCACTGTTTTTTCCACATTATTTTAAAATATAACATAATACAGGACATTGCATAATAAAACATATATGCAAAGTTTAACAAAAGTTATAAAGAAATATTCAAATCATCAATAACCAGGTCAAAATAACTGAATATTACCAGTACCCCAAGAGAATCCCATGTACTTCTTTCCAACTACATCCACTTCTACTTCCCAGAATCTTCCCAGAAGATTACAGGGTGACTCTTGTAATGTCAATTTTACTACTTTTTGTTATTTGCCGACCTCTTTTGATGTGACAGGAAGTAGTGTAACATGGCTGTCAGTTGGAGGAACGGGTATTCAGAATAGACCTGAACATTTTCATATCAGAAAAAGAAACATTTCTGTTTCGTCACAGATTTGGAATTAAGAACACACCTTCATGTTTTATGACGTCACGAACCCGGCCCAGCGAGCCTGCGACACACGAATCCCACTAGTCGGTAGACCCATTGTCACACAGGACCCGCAAGGCCAGGAGCCGCAAAGCTCTCTCCAGGACGAAGCTCCCGCGAGGCCCCACCCACCCCGGTTCCGGGAACCTCATTGGCCAGTCTTCCGCCCGCCATTTCTGTTAGTCCCCGGGATTTGTCACGGGAGGCGGGCGTCTTCTTTTCGGGCACTGATTGGTCAAATCTTAACGACGGCAAGAAGTCCTCCGAGCCTCTATTGGTTCTTAGGCCGCAGAATGGGAGGGGAAAGGCAGAGCGACAGGGCTCAAGGAGGAAAGCGCAGAGTGCGCCGGCGCGTAGTCGGGGACGCCAGGCCTGGGATTTTGCTAGGGAACCGACTGTTGTCGCCCCGCCCCTACGGGGCTTTTTGTCCCGTTAACTGTCGGAGTGGCGGGGGCCTCAGCACCGGGCGACATGCCGGTGCGCTTCAAGGTGAGGCCGTGGTCTCCGGATCTGAAGGCTGCTGGGGGGAGTCGTGGCGGGGCGGGTGCGGGGCGCGGGGGCCTCGCTGGCTTTCTGCGCGGCGCTCCTGGGCCCCGCAGAGCCTGCCAGTTTCCGAGCCTGCCAGTCACGATCCTGGAGGATGATTGTCTCCTCCACCTAGCTCCCTCTCCGCTCGCACACACTTCCAAGTTAGTGCAGTGTGGAAGCGGTAGTTGGTGTTAAGAGAGACTGATTTTGGAGGACACGGGAGTAGATGGAAGGAGGGCACTTTGTAATGAGATCTAAGGTGGCTTCAGATTGGGACACCTGTGGCCCAGTTTCACAGCTTATGCTTTTAACCCCTGCCCCCTACCTACCCTTTAAAACTTTAAATTGCCTATGTCTTTTAAAGGAGTGAGAAGTGGGACCTTGACAATGTAAGGATAGGGTGTAAGAAATACACATTGTTCATAGTTGTGCATAAGTTTTAGGTAGGTGGTGGCTGTCAGACACCCATCAGTGTGACACCTGGCCACAGCATTTCACAAACCCTGTTTTATTCTTTTATCTTAAGGGCTTATATCCAGAATGGGAGGGAAATTTGTCTTTCTTTGGTAGACTTTTCAAAATTTCGGAAGGTACAAGGCATTATACATGATATTGTGTACACACTGATAACTTAATTAGTTAGGATAATTATAATGACGAGGATTTGGATTGTCACCTGTTATCAGACAAGAGCCCAGGCTTTGGAATCAGACACCCAGCAAACAGGTAACCACTCAGAAGCTCAGATTCCTGCTGGTATCTGCCTCAGATGGTTGTGAGGATTAAAGGATAGAATATGTGTGAACTGCTTAACATGGGGCTAGATAAGCAGTAGCTGCTATCAAGGAGTTCTTGTGTGTTTATCAACTTCTTTCAACTTTTAACTCTGTAGTGGTTCAGAAATTATTTTTGCTCATGTCTTCTTTAAAACATCCATTAATTGCATTGTACTCAAATTGTCTTTTGTATTACAGGGTCTGAGTGAGTACCAGAGAAACTTTCTGTGGAAAAAGTCCTATTTGTCAGAGTCTTATAATCCGTCAGTGGGGAGAAGGTACCCATGGGCTGGACTTAGATCAGATCAATTAGGTAAGTTGAACAAACTAATAGTCATTATAGCTTAAATAAACCTTGGGGTTAAGTTTGCAAAATGTTTAAAAATTGTGAAGCATCGTTCAGCCATTTTTTTTTTTAGCAAATATTTATTGAGGGCTTCCTATAGACCTGGACTAATCCTAACTTCTAGGGAGATAGCCTTGAACCAGACAAAGACTCTAACTCTAGGGAAAAACAGTAAAAAAGTAACTCAATAAGTAAACCAGGGGATTTCAGGTTGTTATAGGCTAGCATATACGTAACTGGTGGGAGGGCTGGATTGATGGCAAGGAAAGGCCTTTTTGAGGAGGTAATATTTGAGCTGATACATGAAAGCTGAGAGCAGACAAACCTGGGAGGTGTACTCCCAAGGTCTTCAGGAAGGGAAACTTAGATTAAGTAGCTTTCCCAGAGTTCATAGTAAGTGGCAAAACCATGATTTGAAATCCACACCCGGCCTGGATTTGAAAACATGGCTCTATTAAGGGCCAGGCGCATCTATACAGATGAGTGCTTGGGGCCCCACATCTGAGAGTACTTGAATATGTCCCCCCAAATATTAGATATTTGAAGCCAGGAGAAAAAAAGACAGGAAATAAGTATAATTTTTGCAAGCCTGGGAAGTTAGTAAAATGAGAAGAGTGTTTCTAGAATTAGGTTTGGAGAACAAAAGGAAGAGTGGACTCGAGTGAGTGGCTCTGGGTTCCTCTGAAGCATCAGGATACTTTGCGCAGAGCCTGACTTCAGCCAGTGGATGTCCCTGCTTCTTGGGCAAGGTGGTGCTCAGAATCCTCCAAATGACTCAAAATTCTACAAATCTGAGGCCCATTAGATTAATCCAAAGTAAATCTTAAAGTGTAGATATTCCACTGAGGGCCTGTTACGACACCGGAGTTAACCAGATTGTTGCCTTGAAGACATTTGCGCTTAGATCAACTACATTTGAGGGTGTGTTGAAACAAGACTGGGAGCAAGGCCACTTTGGAGTATGGTACATTATGAAGGCAGTACCGGTCTAGGGGAGGTATATTAATGGAAATATTAAGTAAAGGGGAAGAGCAGAGCGAGAACTCCAGGAAGTTCAGAAAGGAGTAGCAGCAGTTTTACTTAGGGTTGGCTGGATGTTCTGTTAACATAATGTATTTTTTCCCCTTCCTGTGTTTTTGCTGATGCTGGAAGAGAAGGACAGACCACTTGAGAACTTTCCCCTTTTATTTTGCTATTCTACCAGAAGCCTCTCTGTGTTAAAGCAAAGGGAAGTCTAGGGCAATGGTCTTCAAACTTTTTTGCTTTCAGATCCCTTAAGAGAGTTTAGAAAGTCTTTGTATCCTTCCACATTTTTAAGTTGATATTTAATGTTTTTAATTGTAAGTGTAACAAATAGTTTCAAAGGATATGATTTCCAGCATATTGAGTATTGTGCATATATTTCATATATGTTTTGTTAAAACTTTTGAGCTGCCAGTGTAGCTCATTCAATTTTTGGTAAATATTCATTATATAATTGGTAAAGTCAGTCCTCATTGGCAAACTAATAAGGCAAAATAGAATATTTTCTTTGAGAAAAAAATCTAACTTTGTTTTTCAATTCCTATAAATGTGTTCATTTCACAACAATTTCACATGCCATCACTCTTACTCCTGAATTTTAATTCTAAGTTAGATAGGTGGGAAAGGCGTGGACCTGAATGAAATAAGGCACTCTTTGTTATTTGTAATCTCTGCTTTCTTTGCTTTGCTTTCAGATATTCTCAGTAGTGAATTCTTTCTTGAATTGTCCCTTTGTTTATCCTCCACACCTAGGAGAATTTTTTGTTCCTTGGGGCTAGCTGAGAGGTGTGTCTCCCTTTTGAGAAGTGGGAAAGCCCGGGTGGGAATGATGACTACAGATGGCAGGTGCGTCTTTCAAGCAGACAAATGTTGGGAAATAGTGCATATAGAGTTAGGATATGCAAAATGATGCCCTTAAGCGGCCTGTTTCTGCTTATCCCGCACAATGTCTCCGTTTGCCTCCAGACACATATGCACCCAGTTTGAAGGCCACTAGTCTAGGGAAGCATTGTAAGGGGGGCGACCCTGGTTTCAATGGCCAAAACATCTGTCACAGAGGCTAAAGAACTGTGTGGGTTTATGTCATGCCAGATTTTCAGGCCACCTTCCCTCTCCTTCCCTCTAGTCTTACTCTTTCTTCCTTACCCTGCACAGCCTTCTATTTAAAGAATGGCCCCAAACTAGGACAGTATCTCAGTTACTGTCATTCCACAGAGCTCCTCTTACTTGGGTAGAAGGTTAAGTTTTTTGGACATTTGCTTGCCAGGCAGAAATATAGAGAAATAGTATCTTAGCGCCTGTTAAAAGGGTTCATTCTCTTTAATTCTCAGGAAATCAAGGCAAGTGTAGAACCAAGA